TATAACAATAGTTACAATGTATATTCACTATTAATTAAAACACATTTTAATATAGAAATATTACAATATGAACATATAATGTAAAATATTCAAGGTTTATAGTTCATACTAAATCACTTTCATCGACACAATAAAATGAGTTATGTATACCGCAAAATTATGTAAATATGAACCGACAGCTTATATATTGATTTATTTAATTACAACGTATTCGAACGTTGATTCAATCTGGATGCACCTGTTCAAGTAATTATTATGAATTATTACAGTTAGCGACCATCTGATAATGAAATCACTAATCCACTTGTCACATTTTAAAATATTTATACCACAGATGTATTATTTTTTTTAAATTACCTGAAATTGATATGGATTATGTTGCTCATTCATTAAGTTTTTGTTAGAAATCATAACATATAATTGTCTTCTTTAAAAAAAAATAAACTATTAACAAAAATTAAAAATGAAAATGTAAAGTACTAGATTTTGTACATTTGTGATACGATCTACTTACCTATTAGGTAATATTGATTAGATGTCTTTTCTATTATACAGGTGGAACAAATTTATGGAACATGGAAGAAAAGTACTTTAAATATTGAGGTTATCAAGGTTTATTCTAAGGAAACATTTATTTATTTTAAATAATATATATAAATAAAATAATGTTTTCCTTAAGTGAAACTTGACATTTTCAGTATTTGAGACACTTTTCTTCCATGTCCTGCGAGTTTTTTCCACGATGTTAGAGTCGATATGTACGTTAATATTATATTATAGGTATATAGTTTGTAAGATTTCATCGTTTTCTTTAATTTCTAATAATTCTAAGACGCAATGTTTGTTCGAGAGATTTTATCCTTACCATAGACCCTATCGATTAATTCGACAAAATAGTGAAGTGCCCCTTTTATGTATTTTATTTGGTACGATTTCCGGTTCAGGTAAATAAAAAAATGCAGTTATTACTATTTTTAAATAAAAAAATGTTTCCTTTGAGTAAATATTGATAACTTCAATATTTAAGGTACTTTTCTTCCATGTCCAATCCATTTGCTCCACCCTGTATATTAGGTAGGTAATATCTAATACATAATAGAAAATTACAATAACTTTTAACTGTGTACTGACTTACAATCAAGTATACGCGGTTATCATTAATTATGATAAGTATCTCAATGTCGCTGGTAACTACGTGAATGTCGCAGTGCATAGCCGCTGTTTCCTAATGAGAAGGGAGTGAGGAAACCGCGCAGCAGGAGATCCAGCGAACGGTCATATAATTTATTAATTCTAATAGCAGTTTATACACTATTCTAAATGGCTTGTTTGTTTATTCTTATTTTAAAGCGTTAACGACGTAAAAATATCAGGTGTAATTAAAAATGCGAAGCCTCGAGGATTGATGTTAGTCATCGTTCATTAAGCGGAGTAGGGCGTTGAGTGTTTTATTGATTTTTATTGGAGGTATTTATATGATGCAGGTCTTACTATAATGGTATGAATATTTGTTTTTTTTTTTATTTTACTTAAATTGTTTAAAATTACTGTTACTACATAATGTACTAAATAGTAAATAAAAAGTAATGTACTAAATAATACTACATAATGATTAATAATTTGTAGTAGCTGAATTTTCTGCATAAAGATAAAGAAGGACACATGTCCTAAAGTCCAGTTCATAAATCAAGTTGTGCCATTACCGATTTCCACGAGCTCAGTAACGACGGGTTTTTGGCTAATCGCCAGCTTCAGATCACATCAGCATCCAACACGAGATATTTAATCAAATGCAATAATTGGTATAATTTAATGAAAAGTAAACAATATAAGTATCTTATAAGCAGATTATAATTGAGTTTAGTAGAATTGGACTTAGTATTAATAAATTAAGTTAAAACAATGTACTTTAGCGATGTTCCGCGCGTGTAGGTAATAATACCGCGATGGCAGAAATATCTACCTACGAGTACCTATAATTAAATCATATAGATGATGAAGTAGGTACATTAAATTCACTTAGTAAAGTTATATAGGAGTATGATTATTCAATTATAGGGAATATTTAAATTTTCTCAATGTAGCCGAATAAACTTAAGCCCACAATATTTATTATGGTTTAATGCATATTTGCGTCTTTATATGTATACTAGCAGTTATATGTATACTGCCGCGGCTTCGCTCGCGTTAAAACTATTTAAAAAAACTTTAAATGGTAGGTTTCATACAAACTTTCATCTCCTATTTTACCCCCTTTATGGGATGAATTTCGAAAAATGCTAATATATATAAAATGCTATTTATTTAATTGTATTGTTGAGCATTAATACCAAGTTTCAAGTAATTCTGATAATAATTTTTTTTTTGGTTTGTATTATAACGTGTCTTCCCGTGAGAATCAGATGATCTCCCGCGGTAAAAAGTAGCCCATGTCACTCTCCAACTCTCCAACAATATCCACACAAAAAATCACGCCAATCCGTCACTCTATTACGACGTGAAAGGAGGACAAACAAACAAATAAACAAACAAACAAACAAACAAACAGACAGACAGACAGACAAACCTACTTTTACATTTATAATATTAATATGGATTATTGAGATTACTGTTAGTATTTTATACATATAACTGTGATAAAAAGGGCAATAATGAAACGTATAGCGCGATCATTAGCAAAGGCAAATAATTCCAAATGTTGTTAATTACAACATCGTCCCTAAATTCGTTATATGATTTTAACAATTCTCATTATTTTAATAAACGGTCAAAAAGCTACTCATAAATCATCACGAGCGTTCGTCATTAGTATCGGACCGTATTCAGAACCAGCAATTTCCATATTTTCATTAATAAAAAGCGTGTTGCGATGAACCTAAAACGGCGCTGTTTCAAAATATGAATTTTTAGTTTGGTGTATTAATTTAAATACAAAATTAATTACCTTTGCATATTATATCCAGGAGCATTAGCTCAACCTTTGATAGCGTATCAAGGCCTTACCGGTAGCCGAAGTAAAATCCACAATCGCAAGCCGTCATCGCCGCTTTTCGTGCGACAATTCCCATGAATTGTAACGATATGACCCCGATTCTAAAGCACGAAATAGGCTTCTAGTTAACCCTTCAACAACTACTGGTCATATATTTATTATATATTTTTCATCGTTTAAATTTTAAAACCACAAAATTTATAATAAGCAATATATGCATATAATAGCAATAACGAATATAATATAACTACATTTTATTTAAGTAAAATTTTAAAATATAAGATATAAAGTAAAAAATATTAATTTAAATTAAGTGCTAATAAATCAATTATATTATATTTTTATTTACCTCTAAGTTTAACATAAAATTAAAATACTGCATATACAAAACATATTTAGAATTTTATTATAATTGTTGTGGTATTTCGGTACAAGTAATAAAATCACGGCTTGATGATTAATTCGTTGGTTTTATGGAGTTTTTGTTCTACAATTAGGCGCGATCCCCGCGCGTGCTAGTGTTGCGTGGACGATGCATTGTTACCACGTATTAACGATTGACCTACACCATTTCCGGCCTAAATAAGTTATTAGCAGTTTAAAAATTTCGTAATAAGTGCAATAGTTCAAGTATATAATTACGTAAATACTAAATACAGTCAATGCAGTACACTGTTATGATGTAAGATAATAATTTTGCTTAGTAACTTTTGATCATTCGATTTTATTCCCATACCAGTTTAGAAATAGATAAAGTTCGTAAGTATCCACAGACTAAATAATTGATAAAGCCTAGGTTTTGAGGTAGTACGTTCATGAAGGTCTTTCAACTAACCTAAATCTAGTTACGATAAGAATTTGAAATAGGTACCTATAGCTAATCTGTAACATGCTGTTTTTAGAAATATTTTATGGTCAATATTTTTATAGTTTTATCAAAGCTACATGATGATACAAATAAGTTCGCGTTATGGGAAAGCCAATTAGAGCTAGACGCGTTTTTCGTCAGAGCCGGTCCATCCATCACACTGCCACGCCCAGACTGTTCCGTTCCGTTGCCCTCCTCATTCTATCGCTCTGACTAAGGTAATTAAATTATACCAAGTTCACGATATCTAAGTTTTTCTAAGTCTAAGTTTAAGTAAAACGAAGATATTTAATATTTAAATGTCATTTATGTCTATGATGAACTATACGTGTCTAAATAAATATATACATATAACAAAATTCTAAGTCGAATCTCTAAATTAAATATTTTTTTGGAAAATCTTATAGAAATAGTCATTACTATACTACTATGCAGAGGCCGAATTTATAGTTTTTAGAATTTTTGTCTGTCTGTGACCACATCACGAGAAAACCACTGGATAGATTTTGATGAAATTTAGTATGACGATAGCTACTTACTTATCCAGGTCAACATATAGGATAGTCGCTAGTTCGTAAATAAGACAAGTGCTTTACACTTGAGATATTATCTACTAAGAAGTAGGTATCCTGGTACATTTATAATAAATACCTATTATTATTCATTATATTATGTTAAATTATAAGTGCTTATTAAACACTCAGTTAAAAATCTTTATTTTGTTGTGTAAATTTTGAGATTTCAGCGAAGGAAAATCAATTTGTGTTTAGTGAGACAGTAGCAAAAGGGGTCTACTGAGGTTGGTCGTGTGCTGACATTTTGCATTGGCACCTGCGACGCGAAGGTAAGTACCGTGAGCCGGCTGTCGTTCGGCGACATGTGCGACTAATTTGTTGCCAACAACGCGCTCATTACACTGTCCCCAACGCCCGAGGTGTCGCCGACACCGGCAATTTCACTCGTAATTCTATAAAATTGCCACACGCATAAAGAAGTCGTCCGTCCGCAAGTCATCTCAGGAAACATCACTGTCTAAAGTAAAGAAGTATTTGGCGCAAACAAACATATGTTTTTATCATGGGTCTATGTTTTCTTAAACTATTATCCCATTAAAAACCATACTTAAATAATATAACTGACCTGTCCATTCTTGTCCATTTCGTTGTTGGTGAGCTTGACCTTCTCGAAAGAGACTACCTGCTTGCGAAGTTGATCACCGGAGAATGGCGAGTCTGGGTGCGGGTACAGACGAGCGGGTGCGGGAGGGTCTGCCTTGCCTGCTACGAGCCACGATGAGCGATGGTACGCGTAACGGTAGCGCTTGCCGTCTACCGGCACCACGTCTAGCAGTACTGCGTACCGAGCCTCGGCTCGGCAGCCCGCGAATGACACTCGCACTGTTGGAAACATCCGCCTGTAGACAAATAAGAAAATATTTTTATTATTTTTATTAACTTTTCTTCATAATTAAAATATTATATAAACTTTTTAAATATATATTTGGCTTTTAGCTGTATCTAAACTTGGATCTAATATTTTTAAAGAATGTATAACATTTAGTATAGCGTAAGCCTACTACTTGCAGCTGCTAAAGTCAAGTTCAATAGTTTTAGGAAATGGCATACTAATGACCTTAAAAGGGCGAACACCAACTAAATTAGATATTAAGATACAAAAACTTATAGCATCCGAAAGTGTTTTTCGAGAGCAAAACACATGCTGACAATAAAAAAAGATTAATGTATATTAACAAAAAACAGCTAGAGATCTGGCCACGGACGGTGACTTGTATAATTACAGGGTGAAACGTGAACTAGGAAATCAAACAAATATGATGTATTCGATTTTAATGCACCCCTAAATGGGCCGAAGCGCTTCCTGCCGGCTATAGGCGATAACATCGCACGAGCTACTTATTTATAACATAACCTTTCTTAAACCATTCTTTTTTTAAAGTTTAAATGGCATTTTTATAATTTCGAAGGTTAAACAAGTAGTCGTAGATAAGATAACATCCAACAATTTGTTCGTTGGGCCTAATGTAATCGGACATGCGTCGCGCTAGAGTTGTTTCTATTAAATGCTCAAACATTTTAAACGATCGATTTGACGATATTATCGTTCAAGGTTTACGACCAAATTCCTACAGTGTGTAATATAAAAATGCGGGAGTGAAAGAAAGAATTATTAGCGCTCATAAAACACGGGTGCGGTGTCAACCTCCCAATAAGCGTAATAATAAATGCGAGAGACCTATAAAATTCTCGGAGTCAGAGCCCTAGCTAGCGCAACGATAAAGCGCTGTGTGTCGAGGGTCTCGGGCGCGGTGAGCAGTGCTCATAAATGGTCATAAATAAATCGTATTAAGGTGTGTTCTGAACGGTTATTCCGTATCGGTGGTGCGGGATCTCTCATCGCGACGGACAATAAGTCGCTGTCAGGCGCGTTTATGAGTTTGTCGTTAAGCGATGTCGCGATGTCTCGCTTGAACGCGGACGGCTCTCGCACGCCACCCAGCGCGACCGCTTCATGATCTGTTCACGTCGGGTATAACGAACCATCATCTATCAACTATAAATCTTGTACTTAAAAGTAGTTACATAAGTTTTCCCTCATTCTGTTTCTACTGAAAACACGTTAATATTTATTTAATAAATCTACAGCAATATACAATATATTTTTTTTAATTCATACGGTTTAATTGTTCATTTAGCAATCTAGGTCCATTATTAGTCTTTTAAAAGTAAAAAAAATACATAAATTAAATACTAATCCTCTTTTTTCAACTTAAAAAACAATTGAATATTTAAAATGGTTGCTGAAAGTTTCTGACAGAAATTCTCGCCAAGGTATTATTTATTAAGACCATTAATTCTAGAGTGCTATTAAATAAGGCTCAAGCTAAAGGTAACAATTTGATATAAATGCGACATTTCACGAATGGTAACCCTTGTAGAACAATAACTACTTATAGCTCTATGAATAATCATTGTACATTAATATTATATGTCACTAAATTTGTCAACAATAGCTAGATCTAAGAAAATATATACTAATATTATAAATGTGAAAGTGTGTTTGTTTGTTTGTTTGTTTGTTTGTTTCTTTGTCCCTCTTTCACGTCGAAACGGAGTGACGGATTGGCGTGATTTTTTAGTAGAGATAGTTGGAGGGCTGGAGAGTGACATAGACATACTTTACCTCGGGAAATCAGCTAATTCCCACGGGAAAACATGTTATAATACAATCAAAAAAAAAAAATTATGATCAGAATTACTTGAAACTCAGTATTAATGTTCTTCAATAAAATTAAATAAATACGTGGTTTAGCATTTTTCGAAATTCATCCTATAAATGGGGGTAAAATAGGGGAGTAAAGTTTGTATGAAATTAATTTTTAGAGATTTTTTGTAGTTTTAGCGCGAGCGAAGCCGCGGGTTCTGCTAGTATAATATAATGTATCCGATTAATACTGTTTATTTTTTATTGACCGATACTATTTAATTGACGAAAAATTACGTTGCAAAGTAAGTAAATAAAGCGTATCGAATTAATTTAGCGCGAACGGCTTAAAAATATTTATTCCATAAAAGATAGAGTGTAATTACTCGGTGCATGTTAAGGTATAGTAAAAAAATACAATTAATTATGAGCAAATTACACAAACCATAATTTTATACCATGTATGCAACAAACGCTTTACATTTCCGTTTCGCTTCATTGTAAGAACTTACCTGCACATATCGTAATTATTCGATACCACAACATTAAAAATATTATAAGTAGATCATACAAAAGAATGAGCTGATTGTGTTCTTATCATTAGGACGTGTAATTTTGAACAACCGCAGTTTTGTGACAAGCCACACATACAAATATTTATCGATATAGGTACTTTCAAAAATCAATTGCGGTTAACCACTTCCAGGGAAAGGCGCGAAGTTTCGATCATTGAACGCAATATACATACATACTCGTATATTCATATATGGGGAACTGTATTCGTTTCCCAATAAAATTGTATTTTAAAGTCGCACTACCATTTTCTTGTAGTACCTACGAGTCTTTTTGTAATAAAAATTATAAAATTGCATGAAAGAAAAAGGTTATTGCGTAGTTAGTAAAACCATATTAAGATGCTAAATAATTACATGTATTTTCTGCTACTTGCAGTCGAACGTATCAAGATTAATGTTCCTCGAATGTGAGTTCCCGACCTTTAACACAAGCACGCAGTCAATAAATATGAAATGCAGTGACTCTATCAACTGCATTAGCAATATTTGTTATTGTAATTGTTAGTTATTTTTCTTTTTTACAATCTTGTTCTATTAAATAATTAATATCTTAGTTTGTAATTTTTATGTTTGGAGCAAATAATTTGTGTAGCATTGAAACCGATTCTTCAGTTTATTTCACTAATAGAAAACTATTACTACTATTTTTGAGAAATAACATAGATTATTTTAATCCACGAAATAGGCGACCGGAGTCAAATACTAGTATTAAAGCCACAGTTAGACCTAAATATAAATATATACTTAGGATTAATACTATCGATTAACGACTTTGTTCTCCGGCTCTATGAGTTAATCCAGGTCATATTTCATCTGTGTACTTTTCATCCAAATCCGTCTAGAATTTTCAGCGTAATGAAGTAACAATCATATACCATATACACATGAATTTTCAGTTCGAAATGATAATAGTAAATTCGAAAAATATTCTTCGATCTTGTGAAATTTTTCGTGAACAAATTCACACAAGCCAAACTCAATACAAGCATGTGCATAAGTACCTAAATAATAATATGATTTATGTTTAAATTTTATCTTAAAACGTTTAAATAGTAATTAAAAATAATTAGGAATAAACGAGCATTAACATACTATGTCAATATTTCTGTTAGTATTTACATTTAATGAAGTGGTAAAAAAACGATCACAGCATTATTTTGCTCTTGCATGGAAGGAGGTACGTGATAAATAAATTAAAATCAATATTTTCTGACATGAAATCAACTTGAAGGATGATAATTTTATTGCGATTCTCATTTAACTTGGGAATGCTTTTGAATAATAATATCGCGTGATTGCAGTAAATAGTTAACGTTTGTTGATTGAGGCTCACCTCTGAAGTTAAAAAATTACAACTTATAATAATGACAAATATTTTATATTTTCAAGCTGTCAAGATTTAAATAATTTGTAGTTATTTTATGCTTTCAAGGTTTAGCTGTACAAGTCCCCACCATTCGTTTGTAATATCTATTTGCATTTACGCAAGACAATTATTAAACACCGCTATTATAACGCACTTGTTGAATCGATTTTACGAGTCGAGTTATTAATTTTATGTATTGAAACATGATTAAATATTGCACATACTCATTAATAATAATAGATTCCGATAACAATGTAGTAACGTCGTTCACGATATTAGAGGCTTGACTGGTTTCCATGAAATGTCATCCAGTTGGCGACTCGCACGCAACTCGATCCTTCGATATTTAAGTGTTCTCAATTTACATCCTATGAGTATGCGATAAAACGATTTCAATTATTTTTTTTATGTTTAATGTAAATTGTTAAATGTAATTTAAAAAATTCGGGAAATATTTTCAAAAAATACGCGATACGTGTCGTATAATGTGAGAATGGGGAATTGGAGTTGCATAGACGCGTGTCTGTCGGCTGAATGTCGTTCACGCGTCTCGTTACGTCGCCAGCCACGCGACAACAAGCCTAATCTCACAAATCGACATTTACAAAAGATACTGTTACCATGAAGCTTTGTATGTGAATATATTATACTTCATTAAAGTAGTCCATTACTAACGACTGTTGTGGCGGAACATGACATGTACCGGTTTGACCCTAACAGTAAGCGTTTATTTATCAATATAAATCTATATTATTTTAAATAAAATACCAATGTAGGAAGCCACCTCGGTTTTTTGCGAAATCTATGAAGAACGGAAAAAAAGTGAAGTGTTAATATATGATTATTCAATATATGTTTGTCTGGATATGTTTACTCTACAACTACCTACCTACTTAACAAAAAAAATAAACTTACCTACTATTTAAAAAATTACTTATTTGATATATGTAAATGAATACAAAAAATATATTTCATAGAAGGCAATATTCAACTAAATATAGTATATATTGCTTCACAGCCATAAAATTCGCGTGTAAAAAATATTTTTTAAAACGGTTTGAATTGGCAGCTGATGAAGTTAGCTCGTAATCACCCCGACAGCACAGCTTCCACCGCGGGAGGATCACGCGAACTGTCATCTGTAAGGCCTTATTATTAATTTCCGTGTAAAATTATACAAATTGACACTTGACATGTTTTGTCGTCTCTGGGGTAATCGTGCGAAATGGAACTCCATTTTATTACTTTTAT